CAGAATACTTCCAATTACACTACTTTGGATTTCTTTTACTTTAAAGGAGGAATTGATTCTGGCATTAGATTATCAAGAATTGAAAATTTTCCTATAAATGGTTATTCCTTTTTCACTTGGATAAAATTGGATTCTCATTCAAATCCAAAAGCCTTTAATAACAAAAATATTAAAAATAATGATTATTTTCCACGATTATTTTCATTCTTCAAAGAAAATGGTGATGGAATTGAAGCATACTTTGATAAAAACAAATTATCAATTCAATCTAAAAAAGGCACCAAGGTTAAAACAATTACTGTGAAAACTTTTATTTTTGCACAGAACAAATTGTACTTTGTTACTATTGTGCATCATCCCTCAAAAAAAGGATGGACTACAACACCTGCTGAACTATCAATAGTTATAAATGGAGATAGTTGTTTTGAATATCATTTAGAATATCCAACAACAAATTCTTCTTCTACTACTGCTACTCATTCATTTAACTATTGTGCTATAGGTGCTTCTTTAGACATTGGCTCTTTACAAAATGTTGATCTTTCTAATAAATCTAGATCATTTAATACCAACAATAACAATAATAACAACAATCTTTGTAATGGTTTTAGAGGTCAAATGACTACAATTTATATGATATCAGATACCCTAAACAAAGAGCAAATAAGGATACTATATGAACTTGGTCCAAATAATGCTTCTCAATTCGAACATAAGGAATCAACTACAAATTCAACAACAACAACAACAACAACAACAACAATAGCGCCTGCTGAAAAATTATTTAGTGGAATTTTTTACAATCAAAAAATCCTATTTAGTTTTAATGTTAAAGCTTCTTCATCAAAAGATCAAAGTTGTTATAATTTAGCATCTACAAATTTAATAGAGGCTAAAATGTTTGGAGTTGAAAAATGTTCTACACTAAGTATACAGAATGCGATACAATGTCTAGGTGACATAGAGATTTTATTTCCTATTATCATGCAGTTTGACAGTCTAAATTCCATTGCTTTTCAAGCAATAGACGAATTACAAGATGATTTTTTCTCCTTTGAAGGCCCATGTAGAGTTTTCTAAAGCAATAATGTAGTGACGAAGGCATAGTTTGTGACGTCGTGACGCGAGACATAGTTTGTCAAAGTTTATGATACAATTAAAAATTAAAAAATGAAATTGTGTGATGAATTATGTATTGCATCATAATATTTCTCATCCTTTCATTCTCTCAAAGTTCAAGGCTCTGATCACTACCAATAAAAACAACTATATCCACCAAGAATTGTATGTTTTTATCACATAGTAATAATTATTAAGATGAAAGAATTAATGTCAATTTTTTAGAGAAAATATTATTATTTTCACCTAAATCTAAATACACCTGCCGTAATTGGTTATTTGCGGCAATAGTATATAACTACCATTGGGTAATTATCATTATAAAATATTTACGGCTGCCGCAAATAGATGCGGTTTCCGCAAACAAATACAGCGGCCGCAGATAGTTATGACTGCTGCTAGTGTTGTTTGACGTCAAATTCACCGCCATTAAGTCAAAAATAACACAAGTAAAAACACTCGACGTAAGTAAAATTGCTTCAAAAGGCTAATAATAAAATATAAAAAAAATATATTCCAAGGTCTCCTACTCAATTCCAATCTTTCCTTTGTTTCATCAGTCGTAGCTAAATTTTTCTTTTGTTTAACACAATTACAACCCATTTACTACTATTAATATTAATAACGTGATACATGGTCGGGGTAGATATAATCATCGAGTACTTTATGTTCCAGGGTCAACTAATTTTAGTGTAGACCAACATAATTATTATCAAATGAAATATTGATTGATTGATCAAGTTACTTTGCAATAGTTAACCTTTATTGGGAATAAACTTTGGGTCCAAGCAGAGAAAAATAAAACTCTGATAAAATCATTATTTGATAAACTTTTAAAAATAAAAATGTTGTCTTTATTTTCTTTGTTTAAAGCACTTTGATAAAAGGAACAGGTGTAGTGTCTTGGTAAAGGGTAACAATTGTGGAGCTTTGATAAAGAGCCACATTTTATTTACAAGCAAGGTTAGGACTAACGTTGGTTAACTAGTGTGTTAATGAAGTGTCGTCCAATAGCCAATTGAAAATACTGGTAGTATTATTGTAATCGTAAATATAAGGCTGTTAAATATAAAGTAAATTTGTAAACTAATTAATTGACAAGCACTGAATTATTTGCAATTAACAACAAACAAGAGTAGCCCAAAAGTAAGCCATAATCAGCCATGCTTGTTAAATAACCCAGTATTAACCAAAATGATACCTCACAAAATATCAACATTTAACAAGAATAAAAAAATGTAAAAAGTTTATTAGCTTTAAGAAATGAAATAAAAAGATAAATAATTATAATGAATAAATTTATAGTGTAGATTAAGTTAGTCATTCATCAATTCTTTCGTTTACTATTATTACTAAAATTTAATGTTTATTAATTAATTAGTTAAAAATATTGTTATAATTTCCATAATTTAATAATGAAATTTTTATTCACCTTTGTTAACATTTAGAAAAAAGAGTCACAATCAAGATTATTTAACGAACTGTTACTTGTAATTTTTAAGCTTTTAGATTTAGCAATCTCTTCATCTAATATTCTGCTTTTATGATATGCATCTGGATGTGATTTGTGTACTTGTTGCAAAGCACCACTACCACTACTACTAGTAGTATTATTACTATCATTATTTTTAATAATTTCTTCAAGTTTACTCATAGCAAAATCAAACAGCTCTCCACTAGTTGGTCTTTTTGATGGATCCACATCCCAACACCTCTGCATCATTTGCACATAATCATCAGGCATACCAGGTAGTATTGGTGGTCGTAAACCTTCACATATATCAAAAATCAAACGATGATTGTGAGCTCTATCATCAAATGGTGGATGACCTGCAAATATTTCCCAC